GTAGTTCCCAGTGAGCTCTTCATAATTCTTATTAAGATGCTTGTAGTTCTCACCAAATTGTTTGAGCACCCTGAAAATCATTGCTTTGAATTCTTTATCTAACAAGTTGCTTTCTTCCATTTCCTGTAGTTCTTTTTTTTGTGATTCCTCTTTTTCTTTCCTTTGGGTTTTGTTTCTTTGTCTCCGCACTTTAGCCGGCTGGTAGCTCTAGACCCGGTGAGAGACAATTGGATGTGTAGGCAGCTCACTGTATATCAAATAAGGCTACTGTGTCTCCCAGACTGTTCTGTTGTATGTTGCCTCCTGCCTGCTGTGGGGACTGACTATGGGAGGCTGGTATTAGTGTGTCCTGGTAGGTGCTGGATTACATGGGCCCCTTTGACGTTGTGTTCCCAGCTGGTCACTGGTGCCACCTGTAGCTGTATTGCTCAGGCCCTGCTGGAGTTACACTCCCTGCCTGCACCTTGGGCAGCTGGGTTACACAGGCCCTTCTTGAGCTTCAGTTCCCAGCTGGACCTGTGAGCACCTGTGTTGCAGAGGCCCTACTGGAACCCGGGTTTCCGGCCAATCTTGTGGGTGGCTGGGTTGTACAGGCCCTATTGGAGCTTCTGGTTCCTGTTGATCTCATGGGGAGTTGGATCCCTCTAGAGACGTGGCTCCAAGTTTATCCTGTGGGCCCTTGGGTCACACAGGTCTGCCTGGAGCTTCAGCTCTGCACCACTGTTGTGGGCCGCTGGGTCTCACAGGTCCCTCTGGATCCCTGGCTCCACATTGCTCTTGTGTGCTGCTGTGTCACACAGGTCCCTCTGGATCCCCAGCTGCGCACTGTTCTTGTGGGCCACTGGTCCCACAGGTCCCTCTGGATCCCTGGCTCCCCACTGCTCTTTTGGGCAGCTGTGTTGCACATGCCCCAATGGAACCCTAAATCCCACCGCTGGTGGCTGGGGAGTGCTGCTGCCCAGTGGGGCTCATCTCCTGCTCAGTCTTCATTGTAGTTTTTGGGGGTGGTTTTCTGCTGCTGGTCTGTGCTTCTGTTGCCTGGGGATGGATGTCTGCTCCCCAGCCTCTGTTGTGGGGAGTATTTCTTGACTCTGATCAGGTTTCTATTGTGGGGGATGGTGCTGACCTCCCAGCCATTTGGGCTTTCCACACCAGCACCTTGACAGCTCCACTACTGTGCACTGGTCTTTGTTGACACAGACCAGTGCACCTGGTCTGATGGTGCCAGGTGCACTGGTGGGCTCAGATTGCTGGGCCATAGCCATTCCCACTGCCTCCTGCCAGGGAAGACCTGAGATCTTCTAAAATGGTGGGACGTCCCCGTGGTGCAGGGAGAAGAGCCCTGAAGAGCCACTTATTGCAGTAGCTGTCTGCTCCCCATCCATAGCACAGGAACCTTCTGCTCTGCATCTCTGCACTGCAAGAGTTTGGTCATCCACTTTCACATCCACTTACTCTCTCACACACTCACTCAATCTCTCATGCACTCACCCTCCCTCCAGTCCTGCCCTCTGCCATCTTTTTTCTAGCTGTGTATTCTTAGCAAGTTTCTTGGTCTTTCTAGATCTCCTCTAAAAATGATGAAAGTAATACATAAAATTTAATAACAAAATATGAATTAAGTACTCAGTATACTACTCAGCCAATAGCAACTACTCCACAGATGTGCTGAGTTAGCCACAGGCATCATCTTTATCAACATCATTAGCATTATTATCCCCATTTTATAAGTAAAGAAACTAAGGACTTGAATGGATAAGTCATTGAATCTAAGTCAGTTTGCTCATTTCAATGTCAGAAGAACTAGAATTCAAATCCAGGTATGATTTCTTCTAAATTCTTCTTTCCTAAACATTATGTAATACTGCTATAAATTATTATCTTATAAAACTTGAGTGTCCATGAGAACATGGGTTAATTCATAGTTAGATTATGCAAAAATATAAGAATGTATAGTGTACACTTACATGACCTGGATATACTTAATTTTCAATTAACTTTTATTATAGTGGTTAATATTCTCATAGAGATACCTACACACAAAAATAGAAATAATTTGGGTAGTTTACTTGAACCTGACAATCAAGCTCTGTGATACAGTGATTTTTGCCCAGAGCCAAATACTCCCCTTTATTATGCTTACCAGTTTCTGAAATCTAGAGATTTAAAAACAGTTTATTTTTCTTACTTTTTATGTTATTTCATTAAAACTTTAGTGTAATTTAGCTGCAATAAAAACTTAGATGTTTCATTTTAATGCAGTTTTACACAAAGCTGTTTCTGCTACATATAAAGGTAATTCCTATAACAGTTTGGTACATTGCTAAATTCATAAATGCTAATCATTGTGAATTTCTGATTTTATAATTATAGTGAAACAAAAAACAATTCAAGAAGAATTTGTTATTTCTGAAATAAAATAAAACTGCATTTATGACAGAGACACAGATGCTCCCATTGGATTCACCTAATTATTAAATAAGGAAAAAAATTCACTGATGAAAAAATATATAAAAATAATAAGTTGTTTACTATGTATATTGGAGCTTCTGTTTCATGAATCATTTTTCTGTGGTGTAGAAGGGAAGACAATATTTTTTTTCACTCAAGCTCTGCTGAACTAGAGATTTTTAAAAATTAACTAATAGCCACATATAAATAAAAAAACATTTGTTTTATATATTTGAGACAGCCCTGGCCGGTTTGGCTCAGCGGTTAGAGAATCGGCCCATGGACCGGAGTGTCCTGGGTTCGGTTCTCACTAAGGGCATGTACTTCGGTTGCAGTTTGTCCCCAGCCCCGGTTGGGGTTATGTGGGTGGCAACCACTCTATGTGTCTCTCTCACATTGGTGTTTCTCCCTCTCACTCTATCTGAAGATAAATGACAGGAATATAACATTTAATTCAGCTTCTTTGTAAGTTAAAAATAAACACTTATTACATATAGCAAAAATGTAACATTATTTATGCATGTACTCATATACTAATTTCATAATATAAATAACAGAGATAGTGGCAAAGGCAAAAAAGCAAAAGGTCCATTTATGATGGGAAATGTAACAGTTGATACATACGAAGAAAAGAGAAAGGAAAAGAACAGGAAAAACTAATGAGAAAAATCAGTGATGAGAGAGACTAAATGTTGTGAAAATATTGGAAAAAAGTGTAAGTCCAAAGATCAAAGTGGAGAAGGAAGGAGAAGGCAAGGTGGAGAAGAAAAAGAAAGTGATTAGAAAGAAATATGAGGAAGGAGGGAGAGACAGACCCCCAGATAGAAGTCTAAATCTTTGACCATCAGAGATTTGCTTTTACCTTAAATCTTAAGAAAAAATTAATATACTAAGTTTTTTACTATGAAGTTTACATTATGTACATCTTCCTTATTGTGATATTAATATTCCAGAAATGGGAAAGTATATATTATTAACAGCACCCCTCCCCGCAAAAGCAAATCAGGTATATATAAAATAATCTGGAAATACTTTTCAGAACAGTTATTGTCTTTGTATTCAAACCATAGTGTGCAGTCTTTTGAGAATTCACCTTGAATTGAAAAGATCCTGTTTACACTATTATCTGTGCTGTACAGATTTGACTCCCCCCTCACCCCCATACTCTGAACACGGAACCTCATTTTATCTTTTAATTCTTATCATCCAAAGCTGTACTATACATAGGAAACTATAAACACTTCAATGAATAAATGAAAGTATTATGTATAAAAGGAGGAAACACTGAACACTGGAAGAAACTATATAAGCTAAAGTGAACCTTTCATTTCATACAAATTATAACATCAAGCAAGACTTCAGTTTTATTTCCTCAAACAGATTAGAGCTTGGTGATTGGTGCAGGGGAACAAAAGAAATCATAGTTGCAGACTTTGAAATCCAAATTTCTTTACCCCATAATAAATTTACCCCATATTTCTTCTTTGCCTCTTGTTTCATCAACTAGCCTAACTACTTTATGCTATGAAAAAGAAAGAAACATGAATTTATTGTGTGTGTTCCCTGTGGTCGTGGGAAGTGACATGGCTGAAACTGATGTACAGTCTCAGTTGGTTCACTCTGAGGCTGTTCTTTCCAGGTACCTACCACCACCCTCCTCTGCAGAATACTAGATACCTATAACTATGTTTAGGTAGCCATATTTTAAGTCCACATTCCCTTCCTACTGGAGCTTATCCCCTCTGCGTGGGCATCAAGATAAGATGGCATAAGCCTGTGTTCACTAAGTTTTCCATCAAACATAAATTCCCCAAATTCATCAAAGAGCACAGGAAGGAGGGGTCGATTTAAATTACTACATCTTCAAATTCTTTTTTATATTAACTGAATTTCTTAAATGCTATCTTAGTTTAGGGCATTTATGTTTAGCTTATATTGAACATGCTACTGAGTTACTATCTCAAACTTACTTTCTAATAATGCTAGCTTAGTTATACCAAGTTTAATTTTTTTATTTTGAAGATCAAATGAATTGTCCATTAATATATTCAGTTCAAAGACTACTATATTCAAAGAACTATAACTGGTGGAAACATGACTTACATGAGGCCAAACAATTATTTTGATTAATTTTAATCTCCTGGGCTCATTCTTTGAGTGCTATCTTAATGACAGTTAAATGTAATTATTCTGCTATTATTAAGAAGGTTGAAATTTTTTGAACTGGCTCATGAACTAATTTAATTATGTACCTGGGTATAATTTCATTTTGAATGACAGTGTTTTGCTATTTAATTTCTCATTTATCTCACTCTTTGTCATCTTGCCTTTAGAAAGTAGCCAAGTAGAAAACCATAACAAATATTTCTGTTCAGAACCATGAATTTTACACTGGCTGTAAATCGTATATGAATTTGCTTGTATGGATGCAGAAAGTCACTATGGCTAATAAAACATTTCTTGTTTTTCCTCTTCATTAAATAATGAATGAATTTTTGTGAATCTACTATGTGAAGAGCACTGATAAGAATTCCATGTTCATTTTACAGGTGATGGAAGTCAAAGGACAAATGATCCATGTCCCAGAATCAAATTCCATTTTATTCTTGGGCTCTCCATGTGTGGATAAGTTGGATGAACTCATGGGCCGGGGACTGCATCTCTCAGACATCCCCATTCATGATGCCACTCGAGATGTCATTTTGGTTGGTGAGCAGGCAAAGGCCCAAGATGGCTTGAAAAAGAGGATGGATAAATTAAAGGCAACTCTAGAAAGAACTCACCAGGCCCTGGAAGAAGAGAAAAAGAAAACAGTGGATCTTCTATATTCTATTTTCCCTGGCGATGTAGCCCAGCAATTGTGGCAAGGACAGCAGGTGCAGGCCAGAAAGTTTGACGATGTCACCATGCTCTTTTCAGACATTGTTGGCTTCACAGCGGTCTGTGCTCAGTGCACCCCGATGCAGGTTATCAGCATGCTGAATGAACTGTACACCAGATTTGATCACCAGTGTGGGTTTTTGGACATTTATAAGGTAAAGGGGTTTAGTTACTTATATATAAATATTTTTTAATAGTAAATTGTGATCTTAATTAAACTGCAAGGATATAATTTTCTTTTTGTACTTAAACTTGATAGTAAATGATTGATAGCTTTTTAATTAGAAAGTTGTGCACAGAATACAGGTATTTCGGCTTTATTAGTAAACTTTCTTTATGGGTCCATTTATAGTATTGATATACTATAAGTAACTGTGAATCATGATATTGCTCAGTAAGAAAAAATTTTGTAGAGCTAATTCTCTATATTTATTAGTAAAAAAAAAATTAAACTTCCTGAATACTAGGCAACTTTTAACCACATAATATCTTTCCTAGAGAGTGGGATTAATATAAACTAAGAATTTTATGTTTACAGGTAAAAATAAACAGTAAGTTATGCTAAAATATACATTACATTATTAGTTAAATCATGATAAATTAATACTTTGCATGGCTTTGTCAATTAAGTGAGGTACCTCTAATTCTGAAAGAACATATGTAAATATTCTAGCTATTGCCCAAATGACCTATGGCTTTTAGTGGAAGCACCTTAAATTTTTATAGGAAATAGTGGAAGAGCTTTGAAAATGAGTACTAATCACCACTGGTTGCTCTGCTTTGATGAACTCCTTATTAATTTCTCATTATAATCATAGCAATATTTTGTGTGATTCAACCCCAAGTCTACTGAATGAATAACGGTAACTTTACATAGAATTTCATATGGAATGTACATTGTCAGGATGCATGGTTTTATTATATGAAGGAGAGAGAGAATGTGTAATATAAACAAACAGCAGTACACTGTAGGTTTTGATTTTCTTCTTTACTAATCCATCTAGACTGCTATTTCTTTTTATAGTATTATCCACACATAAACATATGGAAAGAACATATTCATTTACATTAAGGTATATCTCCTTTAGAGAAAGGTGTTCTGTAGCCATTATGTATAATATATGGCCGATGCTAAATGTTTTAGTGAGTCTCTTTTGAGGGGTAAAATATTAAGTGTAAAGTGTATATGAGGGCTTTGCCTTGTTATACAAAATAATAGTACTTATAAGTTATTTTTAACTTTCTTATAATTTATTATTATACAGTTTATGGCAGAGGTAGCCAAATGTCTGCTACTAAACCAGAGACATACTACAATGGGTACCCAGCCATTTGCAGATGAGCAACTCGGCCTGACTTTGCCAGCACTTCTGTTCTTCTAAGCCTGGGCACTATTGCACTAACCTCTGCAAACCCCAGTCTTCTCCCTCTAAACCACGGATTTGCTGTGTTAGCTTCTTCCAACTAAAGTAGCCACATGTTATTTTGGTCCTAAGTTCATACAACTAAATGAGATTGATAAATAGATAAATAGGTTCTCCTTTGGGAAAACATGAGAATCCATGATTTAAATATAAGGAGCAATTAGGTTTTGAGAAAAGAAAAAATATGATGTCTTTTGAGGGTACCAAACAATTTCAAGGTTTAACAAAAATATTTTAAATTAGATTTTAAAGACATCAAATATTTCTTTTGAGATAAACTAGAATACCTCACAGAAAAAGAAAATCTATAAGAATATCCTATGTCCCTCAATTTTCTCTGTATGTTATTAAATCATGGGTGTTTCTACATAGTGATAAATAATTATCAGCAGATTTTAACTTACAAAATGGATCTACTGTTTCTCTGATACACAAGACTGTGTTTTCTATTTTTCTTATATATATTGGAAAAAAAGAAAGAATTCTGGTTCACAAATCTCTTAACCAGAACTTGCTTGAGAAATTTTAGCAATAAATTATAAAGTAATATGATTCCAGGGCTAGGTGTGTTTAACATATCTTTGATGCCAGTATGTGTATGTATCTTGGACAGGTGTATAGGGCAACTCTGATGTTTGTTCAGGGCTATGGGAGTTGAGTTTTGGGATCCAGACTGGGAAACACTACACTATGTGCTGAAGCTGGAGCAATGGTGGTATGGCCAGAGAGGGAAAGACAAAAATAAAAATAAAAAGAGAGAGAGAAAAAATAATATTTTGGTTTAGGATAAAACAAAGTATATTATGAGAACTATATTATGAGGAGGAATGTAAATTAGAAATCCTGTATCTGACCTGCCTAATTTTAAATTTCTAATCATTATAATTATTCAAGGTACTTTTCTAGAAAATTTAAAAAGTGCTATTACCATGAACTATCTGCTAAAGTTTTAATTACTATTGGAAAACAATCTCAAAGGCAATAGAATTTTTTAAGGAATATAAATAGGCTGATTTTATAAAATAAAATAGAGTTTTCCTGGATTCAAAGTATGTGTAGCATTTTTGTAAAATAATCATACCACAGAGAAAAATATAATATGTAGCCCAGTTTTGGTTTATGTTAGAAATGTAAAAAGAAACTTGGTAAAACTGAATGCTAAGAAAAAAGAACTAGAGAGAGTGCCCACAGGGGCATTCAAAGTCTGCTATTACACAGTAAGACTCCCATTTTAAAATTTGTGGTTGTGTCTTTTTTGATCATCTTATTTTTCCATGTCCCTATTACTAGGGAGATGCTGTAGTAATGAATTGTAATTCTAGTAGTATTCAGCTAAGTTAGTTTGTAATAAAAAGTTTTTGATAACATAATTAAAACCTTCTATAAAACAGGATGTTTGGGAAAAAGTTATAAATTTTACTGTACCTATTTCAAACATTGAGAAAATTAAAGCCTTTACAATGCTTGGCTGCCAAGTTATGACAGGTATGTGAATAGTAAATAAGAGCTATGTAACTGAGGAAGCATGGATTTTAATTTTAATCCTTTCATAATTAAAAATGCAAATATTCATTAAAAAGTCAACATAAATACACTATATAATATTTTGCCCCTCAGGTTTTACAGGGCATGGAAAATGAACAAAATAAAGAACTATTAACTCTAATTTTTCAAAGTAATGGCATATAGAATATAATAATAGTATTGTATATTGAAGCAACCTAATGTGGGTTTTGCCTGAATTTATCTGTTTGCTCTGGCAAACCCTTTATTTAGAAATAAAAGAGAGGAAAGGAGAAAGATGAGTTCTTTTTCATGCTCTTCTCATTCCATTCAGCCAAGGCTATAGTATCCCAGTGCTGCCTTAACCATACTCTGGAGTTCTCATCTTCTCACCTTTAGCCACTTTTTTAACATAACTTTTCTCTAGTTCTGTTACCTGTGAAGTCTTGATTCTAAAGCAGCACCTGTATTCAGTAGCAAATGTCCATCATAGCTATCGTCATTACTTAGACAGTTGTATCTGGACATATTGGGATATATGTTATGGGATTATTTTGTATCTGTTTGTATGTACATAACGACAGACCCCCTAGTGCTTATTAGAAAGAATAAAGTATGATACCATTTAATGCACCACAATGCATATGTGGAGTTGTTACATTATCTTCTTTTTCAGATAGGAAAACTGAGTTTTAGAAAGATTGACTAGTCCAGATAATGTAGCTAATAAGTCAGAATTTGAACTGAGACTTGTCTGATGCTAAAGCCTACAGTATTTCTACAAGTCTAGGTTGTGGTCTAGACAAAGATGAAATAATCAATGAAAAGTAGAAACTGTTTCAAACCTAGGTTGCATGATCAATAACTACAGTTATACTGTCAAATGATAAGAATAGCTTTATGGCCACCTAACCCAAACCTACCCCCTCCCCTTCCAGTAGCAAATAGTTCAGAGTTTTGAGAAGCTGCATCTTAAAAGTTGGGGACTCTCCCATCTGCCATCCTCCCTTTTCATCAGAAACCAGCAAGAATCTTCTCCCTTGTCCACTGATGGAGACACAGTGTACCAGAAAGGGGGCAGAGGGATCAGTGATCCGAAGTACAGGTGACAGGAATATCACTTTAAGATGATGACACTGAATAACAAATCTGTTTGTTTGTTTGTTTTTTAAATCATCTTTCTTAGGCAATTCTGAAAAATGTTAGCAATAAAATACTTTCTTCTGTTGGGTGGGAGTGAGTGGGGGGCATTCCCATATCAAAACCCAAACTCGTCTTGAAAATGTTGGTGGAGTTAAACATTGAGTACATGCTTCAGGCTTGGGTTGGGGAGAAGGGGTAGAAAGACAAGATGGAGCAGCCAGGAAATGCTAAGGCAAAATTATGTTAGACCAGGGACTGTGCTGTTAAAACTATGAAATGCAACAATACAAAGTTCTGGATATATTGGGATATATATTATGTGTCGTTCACATTGACAAGTATTCTAAGTCCAAGTAGAAAAGCTGAGTGCAGAGAAGTAAGAGGGGCCAATTTCAAAATACCATAATGTCCTAAAAATGACCTGACAAGGGTTTGCTTCATTTATATTTTTGCCTTTGGCAAGCACTTAGGCTGAGATAAGGGACAAATAAAGGGAAGGATGGATCCTTTCTCTTGTTCCTCTCTATCCATTCAGCTAGCACTGCTGAACCCCAGCGCTGTCTTAGGTACATTACTTGGAGTTTTCATCTTTCCACCTTTAGCCACTTATTTAATCTCTCTGCTAATTTCATCTACCAAATAGTTATAGTTTTTGAGCTATTGATTTTATTTTTTTATCCTTATCCGAGGATATTTTTGCATTTATCTTCAGATAGAGTGGGAGGGAGAAAGGGAAGAAGAGAGAGAGAGAGAGAAAAAAACATCAATCTGAGAGAGACACATCGACTGGTTGCCACCCACACAACTACAACTGGGGCTGAGGACAAACTGCAACCAAGGTACATGCCTTTAGCGGAAACTGAACCCGAGACTCTCTGGTCAGCGGGCCGACACTCTAACCGCTGAGCCAAACCGGACAGGGCTAGTTTTTGAGCTTTTAAATGAAATATATGTAAAATTCTTGTTACAGTGTCTGGCCCATGGCAGTAAATGTAAACATTACCTGTCATTTCTTAAAATGGTGTTTCTGGATATATGTGGTGAGTGGGTGGGTGCTTTTTATGCATATGCTTTTATGTGAATGT